TTTCTCTTGGAGGATTGGGGTCCGGCTTCGCAAACTCTAAGAAAGAACTACGAAACCTCGCTCAACAAGCGTTCGCTCATTCGACTCAATTGATCATCGATAAATCATTGAAAGGCTGGAAAGAGGTGGAATACGAGGTCGTTCGGGATGCGTACGACAATTGTATCACAGTTTGCAACATGGAGAACGTGGATCCTCTTGGCATCCATACCGGGGAGTCGATCGTAATCGCTCCAAGTCAAACACTGTCTAATATGGAGTATAATATGCTTCGGACGACCGCTATCAATGTGATTAGACACTTTGGAATTGTCGGCGAATGCAATATTCAATACGCTCTGAATCCAAACACCAAGGAGTATTATATAATCGAAGTAAATGCCAGATTATCCCGTAGTTCGGCATTAGCAAGCAAAGCTACCGGTTATCCGTTGGCTTACGTAGCCGCAAAACTTGCTCTTGGTATTCGTTTGCCGGATATCCATAATTCCGTTACAGGAAAGACTACGGCTTGTTTCGAGCCTAGTTTAGATTATTGCGTGGTTAAAATACCGAGATGGGATCTGAGCAAATTTCAACGAGTCAGTACAAAGGTATACATGTTAGACCAGTACATAAATTTGTACAATTTTCTTCTTTTTTTTTTTTTTTTTTTTTGATATAATTATTTAATGCAAGATGATGTTCGCAATTGAGCCAAACCATAGCATAAAAATTGAAAAACGACAAACTTAAAATGATTTTAGATTGGTAGCTCTATGAAAAGCGTGGGAGAAGTGATGGCGATTGGTCGCAAATTCGAAGAAGCTTTTCAGAAAGCGTTGAGGATGGTTGACGAGAACATCAATGGTTTCGACCCGTACGTGAAAACTCCCAACGACGAAGAATTGGAAAAGCCAACTGATAAAAGAATGTTCGTCCTTGCAGCGTCCATAAAGGCTGGATATACGATCGATCGATTGTACGAACTCACAAAAATAGACAGGTGGTTTTTGCACAAGATGAAAAATATTATCGATTATTATTTAGTATTGGAGAGTACAGATCATACAAAGTTATCGCACGAGGTTTTACTACGAGCGAAGCAAATTGGATTTTCCGATAAACAGATAGCAGCTGCGGTTAAGAGTTCGGAATTAGCAGTTAGAATACAAAGACAGGAGAGTAATATACGACCAATGGTCAAACAGATAGACACTGTTGCTGCGGAGTGGCCAGCGACGACGAATTATCTTTATTTGACATATAATGGCACTACGCACGATGTAGAATTTCCTGGCGGATACACCATGGTTATAGGCAAGTAATGAAGAAACTTAACCAAAAAATGGACATGCAAAAAGACAGACTAAAATTCCTTTTCATGACCATAACGAAATGTTGCGTTAACGTAAGATTGGCTCTTATCGAATTACTGATATAACGCTAATTTCTTACAAATAGATAGAGAGAACATAACAAACTTTTAACATTATTAAATTATTTAGAATTATTTTTTAGTTGATTTTTCCTTGTTTTATCAAAAATGACTTTTTTGGGGGAAGTAGAATTTATCTATTGACAAAGCAGTTCGAGTGTCAAAAACAATTGGCGAATTGGGTATGTTTTTAATGAATAATTGCGAATAACATTTTCCTTAGGATCTGGAGTTTACAGAATCGGCAGTTCTGTAGAATTCGACTGGTGTGCCGTTAGTTGTTTGCGCGAATTACGAAACTTGGGAAGAAAGACGATCATGGTGAACTACAATCCGGAAACAGTTAGTACCGACTACGACATGAGCGATCGATTGTACTTCGAAGAAATATCGTTCGAAGTCGTGATGGATATTTATGATCACGAATGTCCGGAAGGAATAATTTTATCGATGGGCGGCCAATTGCCGAACAATATCGCTATGGATCTTCACAGACAACAAGCTAGAATTCTTGGCACTTCACCGGAATCTGTCGATGGAGCTGAAAATCGTTTCAAATTTTCTCGTATGTTGGATGGCATTGGAATTTCGCAACCCAGGTAAATCATTATTAATGCAACTTATGACGAATTATTTCTTTTTTTTTTTTTTTACGAAAATTATACAAAAATACACAGAATGCGTATAATTTAGAAATATGCATAAAGTAAACAAAGCACGTTATAATATTTAATGAATAAACCAAATCTCTATTTTAGGTCCTACATTTTTAGCCATGTTCTTGAAAATATAATTATCTGCGTAAAAGTCCGCGGTCTAGTTATCGCATTTCTAGTATTACTCGCACGTAGTCGTATGAACTAAACAATCAAAGTATTAATCTAATGTAAATATAATGATCGCTCAGGTGGAAGGAGTTGACCAACTTGAAGTCCGCGATCGAATTTTGCGAAGAAGTCGGCTATCCGTGTTTAGTGCGTCCTTCTTACGTATTGAGTGGTGCTGCCATGAACGTGGCCCATTCGCATAACGACCTCGAGTCGTATTTGAAAAGTGCCAGCGAAGTGAACAAGGAGCATCCAGTGGTTATATCAAAGTTTATTCTCGAAGCGAAGGAGATAGACGTCGATGCAGTTGCGTATGATGGAATTATTCTTTGCATGGCGGTATCAGAACACGTGGAGAACGCTGGCGTTCATTCGGGTGACGCTACTCTGGTCACACCACCTCAGGATATCAACGCAGAGACCTTAACGAAGATTAAAATGATGTCCAAGGCCATTGCCGCGTCTCTTGGCGTCACTGGTCCCTTTAACATGCAACTGATCGCAAAGGTAACATTTTTGGAAAGAAGTTTCCAAATCAGCATGAAATATTCGCGGCGATAGGCTCGACGATATTCATTCGGTGGTATTTATGGTCAATTCCTCGAGATAATATGGAAATGTCGAGGAAAACAAATAAATGGTGACATATCTTTTGCCGACAGGACAACGAGCTGAAGGTCATTGAGTGCAACGTTAGAGTATCAAGATCTTTCCCGTTCGTGTCGAAAACTCTGGATCATAATTTCGTAGCTATGGCTACGCGACTGATCGTCGGCGAGCCTGTAGATCCAGTGGATGTACTTGCTGGATGTGGCAAAGTCGGTGTTAAAGTGCCACAATTTTCTTTCTCGCGTCTTGCTGGTAAGCGCATATCTTGCGACACGATATCGTTCGTGCCACGCTACGAACAAAGTATCTTGCCACGGTATACTGTTTCTGCAAGACTATGCACGGAATATTTTGCGTTTATTCTTCGCTGTTTCCAATCGAATATCGCTTGTTAGTTTTTGCCTGGATATTCTGTGTCTATATCTATTTATAGTCATCTTTTACTTTCCGAAATCCTTTTTTAAAAAATTATTTTTTCATTAAATGGTTTGTATGTTCTACATGCAACAAACCAAGTGAATATACCTCGTGGACCCTGTGGGACGTTGAAATATTCTTTCTTAAAATATGAACCTGAAGAATAACGCTTTACGATTGTATAGGTGCCGACGTAATGTTAGGAGTTGAGATGGTATCCACAGGGGAAGTCGCCTGTTTCGGAGACAATCGGTACGAGGCTTACTTGAAGGGAATGATGAGTACCGGTTTTCATATACCACAGAAAGGCATCTTGCTCTCGATTGGAAGTTTCAAGGTATTTCATTCTGCCACGTAGACATTTGATGATTATCAACGATTGGTGCAATGTCCCAGCGTGGTTCTTGATTACAGCACAAAATGGAACTGTTACCCTCGGTTCGTAGTCTTCACAAGATGGGTTATAAATTATACGCCAGCATGGGGACCGCAGATTTCTACACAGAGCACGGAGTAGAGGTAATGAGTATTCTCTATTAGAAACTTAAAATATATATTTAAATATTTACAGTTACAATTCATACGAACGTGTGTTATGGTTGACTTAAAAGAATTTCCTAAAACTTAATTTAATACTAAGCGCTAATAGTTCGATACTTTCGTTAGAATTAATGCATACGTTGCGTCGCTTTAATCGTTTAATTCTAATGCCTTTAACGCAATTGTCGCGCGTTGACGAGATAACTGAGAAATATACAAAAAGAAGCGATAGATATGACCTACGTCATTCCATCATACATTGATCTACATTATTAATTATCTCTTATCTGATATCGTTAAACCGCTGAGAACTGTAAGAATTCAAAGAGTTAGATTACTTAACTTAGAAATGTTTAACTTCATTTAAATATGCTACTAATCTGATACAAAACATTATAATAATCTATAATCAAACGATACTATTCGAAGGTTAAAAGACAGTCGTTCCTAATGACAAAAAGGCTGTAATTCCAAAAGTGGAACAGCTATATTTTAGCATCAGCGAATACATTAAATGTCATTTTATCACGTTTGTCCTGCTATAATAGATATCTCTTTATTAGAAAGGAATTTTAGTTAATATTTGATTAACACTTTCGCTGTTACTAAAATGGAATTTCTCTTCTGCAAATATGAAAATTCTATTGGATGTAACTTCTAGATTATTTGAATGAATCACGGTCACAAATATATGTATAAATGACTACGTAGTATCATTGCACGATATTACAATATCTAATGAAGACTAAAACTGCATAATTCCGTTAGTAATATTACCGAGACGATTGATGGACGCAACATATGCATAAAGGATAGCAGCGTAAGTGTTAAACAAGTCGCCGATTGAATCCATTAATCTGGACGTAATCAATCATAATGTAACAAATAAGACGAATAGGCAGTGGGAAAAATTGGTGAACTCTAATTACAAAGCGTGTCCCAGGTTCTTTATCACAAAACGTAGCTACCTTACTCTGTGGATAGAAATAAAAATACATCGTATAAAATCATAAGCGATGATATTGCAAATCTCAATTATAAAATTCACTTTGGAATTTGCTATTGTTTGCGCAATTATGTTGCTACGAATAAACTTATGAAAATAAGTGAACTGCTTTTTGAGAATTGAACACGTTAATCGCGTGTACTTATGTAACGAAATTGAGAAAAATTGAGAAAAAGTGTAGCTGATCAGTTTAACAACCGAGAGGTTCGTTTATTTGTTATAGTCGTACTTATACAATACACTAACACCATTTGGTTCAAAGAAACCTGGGATACCCTAAGTAAACTTTCCGTCCTCCAATTAGTCCAGATAAATGGACTTCTACTTATGCGATTAATTTTTCTAGATAAGCAATTAAGTATCGCGTTCAATCATCTGCAAGTATAAATAATATTAAATAACAATAAATTACAGATTACTTGCAAAAGGTTGAGAAATTTATTAGGTAACGAAGGAATTAGTTGTGCATGTTAGCTTCTAAATGTACGTGGATTCACTTCCTGAAAGTTTTTTAAGACGAAGTATCGGTTTGTTTGGCTGACGTTCGTCGGTTTTCAATTTTGACACATGATTTTCGCTTATTGAACTTTGAGCGGCCACCTTATCATTCGTAACTTCTAAATTTAATTCGTTCGGTTCTTCGTAATGCCTTTCATGAACGATTACTTTAACATCTTGAACATTAACTTGTTTTTCTGGCAATTTCACGCTCGGCCTAGGAGTTGGCTCAGTGTTTTTCTGGCGAACTTGATTCGACGAATTTGATTTTTGCGTGAAACGATTGTTCAACGATCCAACGTATATGGGTTTCTTTTGATTTCTCTCCGGAGTATCTGGCGGTTGATTTCCTGGTTCGGAAACAGCTACTTTCTTCCTGACAACTTTGATCTTGTCGCGATAAGCTAGCGCATCTTCCGTATATCTTTGACGCTCGAAAAGTAATATGGATAGCCTGTCCGCGTGATCAAGGTACATCTTTTTCTGTCGATGTGCTTGGTACTGATGACATCGTTCGGCAATTTGAATGAAATGCCGTATGAAGAAGCCTAAAAGAATGCACAACCTCGGTCCCTCTAAGTCAGCGCAACGTGTCTGTAAAAAAATAGAGACAAATAGAGTAATAGTTCCTCTATAATCCAGAGATCATCCTATATCATTGGCAGATAAGATTAAGTATTGCAGAGCACAAATAACTGAATAGTATTGTTCCTTATCGAATATACAGCGAAAAATATTAATTACGTTGTTAGTCAAATATTTTTCAGAATAGAGTCCTTGCGGCGAAGGTTTGATCGATAACAATTTAGAGGAAAAAGGTATTTCGTGATATACATATGTATGACTGTCGAAAACGGTACAACGAGAACGTACGTCCTCGAAATAAAATATGTCATTGAGTGGCGAGTGTTTTAGATAAAAGCGTCGATAGAAACAGCTTATCAGAAAATAGATCTTACAGCGATTTCGATGATAGAGTCGGTGGCCTTGCGAGGGACAATTAACGACTTATTGGTGATCAACTTGACGGATGATTTGTGTCCTTGTTTCTTCGCCGTCTCCCAAAAGCCCTTCATATCGTATCTTTCATTTTGCTCGGTAGGATCCTCGTACGTTTGATACATCAAAGTCGGAACGTGTTGAGTCAGTTTCGGATTAACCAACGTCAACGTGTCAGCCGTCAATATCTTCAGTAACATCTCGTAGTCCAACCTCGGGAAGAAATCGTTACTGTACCGAATGTTTTCCATCGCATGAAAAACGTACATTACCGGATTCTCTGTGATGCGTTTCAATTGCTTCTGCGTGTGCAGCAAATGGTCACAGGGTACCCTCTGAAAGAGATTCCTACTTTTGATGAAGTAATCGTTAAGCTTAGGTTCGTTTTGACTAATGTTGTAATACAAAGAATTCAGAAGCACCAACAAACACTCTCCCAATCTACTATCTGGCCATTTCGATGGGTTCGCGTTCTCTTCGATCATCCAAAATAATTTGTGCCTGATATGAGCAGTGGTTAGACCGAACATAGTATCAAAAATAGGTCTGAGGAAAGTCTTGTGAAGCATCAGAGCGATCAAATACACTTGTATTTGGGCCTGTGTCATGCATGTTTCGAGGTATCTTTCGGCTGCCGGGAACGTCAGCTGCCATTGCAGATCCTCGATGAGATTGATATTTCCATTCCTCGGCACGAAGCCTTCCGGAACGACGTAGCATCCAAAGTCTTTAACCTTCTCCACGTCGTTGTTATTTGGCCAAGTATGTCGTGTCCTCACCAGCCATTCTTGAGCGCAGATAGGCCACTCCAACCAAATTGCAGGGATGATCTCGTATTGTTCCACTTTACTGTGCTTCAACGTTTTCGCGATCATGATTTTGTCACAATAGAGCACGCACCCTTCTCGTTTGGTATTGTTCACGGATTCCGGATCAAAATTCAACGACTTCCCCAACCCATGCATAAACAGTTTCATAAAGTGTTCCATAAACTCAGTGCTGCTTATATAAAACAAATTATAGTTGTACCGGTTCAAGGCCATTTTAATTCTTCGTTGCTGATGATCCAGCTTTTGCAACTTCTCTGTTTTCGGATCGTAGAGATTCCCATCGGCCGTATACGTGACTTTCTTGAAACAACGACGCGGAAACTCTCCGTTCGTTATCCAACATTCGTCCAGCTCGTCGTAGCTAGAGCTCTGAGAGAATTTGAAGTTCCGACTCGGATTGCAACTGCTATCGCTGCTATATGCGTAATTATCGGATCGATATCCGGAACTGTTGCTGCTCGTGGGATCTTGATTGTTCGGTCCTTGGATCTTTTGTCGCGGCACTTGTTTCTCCCATCGACGACTCTCTCGGTTCAGTAATTCCTCCTTCGTCTGTGGTCTTTTGTTCGAACGTTTTCTTTCTTCCGCATCGGAGGACCCATTATCGTAAACAGGCTCCTCTGCAATTTTCCTACTACGATTGGAATGTAAAAAGCTACCATTCCCGACTTCCTCGTCACACAGATTAGGCAAAGATCTCGTATGCTTGAAGCTTTTAACCATGTCTGGTTTAGATTTGCTAGAACTGACTGAGTGGACAGATAAATTCGATCGAGATTTTGGACTGTAAATGCTACCATCGCTGTATAGTTCGTCGTCGTCCTCTGCTATCGATGTTAGGTCCACGTCGTCTTTCCTCGACGCTATAAAGTTGTCAAGAACCTGCAGTTGCACAGAACCTGCGACAATGTAAACGCAATTTGCTTATCCCTCGAGTATTTTACTTTATCACCAGACTACGTGTCGTCACCTACCTTGTTGTTTCGTTGGTTTCAACAATATGTTATATACAGTTGTATCGTTCACATGACTATAGTGTGACGGATAACCTTCCTCCGTGATGTCAACGTTATCGTGAACCATGTAAATTCGAACCGGCTGCAAAGGTTCGATGGTTGGCCTAAAGGATTGTCGCATGGAAGTGAAACCGAGGTGACGAGCGATGTGCTCCTGAAGAATGTCTGGAAGCAGCACGTGCTTTTGAGGAGGCAAACGTTCGTTCATTTGCATCTCGCGCGACGATACCATAATTTCCTTCACCTGCTTGATTTCTCTGAAAAACGTCACTATGTATAAGATTTTATTTTCTGTTCAACCACTGATAAAATCGTATTATCACCGGTTAAAGTTATCGAGTTTGTCGTAATCGTGGCACCGATCGAGAACTAAAGACTCGCTTGTTTGTTCGATTATTCGGAAGAATATTTTTCCAACGTATACGCTACTGTTCACGAGTATCTGTACACTTTCTGCATTGCTGCGAATATGTAAAATATATCTTTTACGTATCTTTATTTGCTCTTGCCTTCCGGCTTTGCGATTCACGTTGTGCAAAACGTACATATAAACGATAATGGATAATAATAATAATAATAATAATAATATAATGCTTTCTCTTGAATAGAACCCTTTAGTGTAATTGTAAGGGTCGCAACAAGAACACTTCTCCAGGTGTGCGAAAGTTTCCATTTTTTTTTTTTTTTTTAATAGAATATTCTCTGTGTTATGTAATTCTTATAAAAATAACTTCGATTAAATCACAGAAGAATTATATTTAATTGTAATTAATTGTTTAACCAACCGATCAATTTTCATTCGGTAATAAGTGAGAAGATAGGACACTTCATAAAATATTACTTCTATCGTGCTGTGAATCTAAAGCTTCCTGTTTGCGATGTGTCGCGCGAGACACGCGCACGCGAAGAAATATCGCTTGCTGTACGCTTCAATGCGGCGACCGGTGTAAAGCCATTTCTGTTAAATTCTGCTACGATTCATAAAATAGGAAAAATATGTGAAACAACACACATCCACGTTTCGTACACTGCACGCACGCGTCTCGACTCAGCTTAACTTCCGCTTCCGTAACGAGCTGCTTCATTTCCACTTGTGATTTCGTCCCAAGTCAATCGTATACAGGTAGCGGACATCGATCGAAACGATAATTAACGTCGATTAGTATAAATAAGAGAGCAACAGCTGGATAAAGTTGGGAATTGCAGCCAATGTCCAGATACTTGAGAACGCTAGCGTAACACAATTGGTACGCGAACCTTAAAATGATATCTTACTCTTCGTAATTTCCAAAGAATTGGACGCACATCATGAGATTGTTCAATACGAACATCTCGGGATTCCGTTCGATACATTTCCTCAAGATGATCAATTCCGGATCGTTGTATTCCTCGCTTTTTGTAGTCGAGTTCTCGCTACTTTGAACGTTGTCGTTGCTGCCACGCTTCCTGTTTCCTTTCCCCCGTAACTTCCGTTTCATCTTCTGATTAGAATTCCCCATTTTTAATTCTCACGGAAATTACTCTCTAAAACGATTGTTTGTTGTAACTAGAAACTTCCTTCCGTCACCTTGCCCGACGACAAAACGTTATTCGTTGATTCTGACACTTTAACGGAGAATCAACGTCCGCGATCATGACGCATATAAACTCGCAAAGAACACGTATTCACTCGTCGATGAGACAATAATCCAATCGTGGGGTGCCACTGCCGATAAATACTTAGCTATCGTTATCAACAGACAACAGAATAGGTTTAATCGCTCGCTATCGGCTATCGACAAGTAAGCTAAGCGCGAACGGGTTTTCTACCAACAATGTCACGACTTTCTTATATCATACGCGTGCTATGATTGGAGAATGATTTTTCAACATTTCAAAGACCAAGGGTGTTAACAAGTCGAAACAAACGTATCGTGATTTTAGATCGTTTAGAGCGTTTTCTCGCAATTTCCAAACGATCATCGTCTTCGAAACCCAAGAAAAACGAACCTTTACAGGTCTTCTCTTATAATCGTTGTTCTTCTTTTTGCATTAAATTTCAAATATTTACCCATCGTCTCGTAACGACCTGTAAAAGATATGGGGAATTTTGAAACACTTCAATACGCATATCGAGAAAAATGCTAAGATAGAACGTTTATTTTCCAATTACTTGGAATAACCGAAATTAAGCAAAGTTTCTCCTGTGTCTATATATATTTGTTACGACATATGTAACATACGTATGCATAAAAACAGGATAAATTTATATCACAATAAAATACGGCAAAAATTTCCTAGAGTTTTTCAGCGAACGTAACTTACACATGTCCTAATTAGCTATGACGGGTAGTTGTATATGAAAAATCAGTCGAATGACTCGTATTATTCCAAAATACAAGTTATTTTAATAAAATCGTTTTATTATATATAAACCGACGAGTGTCATAGATAAAGATATACTAAGAGGAAGATTGATATATCTAATCTTAATGCAGGATAAAGTGCCAGTCGGAATAATTGCGAATGAATTCTCATATATCGTATCGAACGTGTTCGTCAATTTTAAACAGTAGATACCATGTATTTTTCAGATTGGTATATGTGCTTAAATTCTCGCTGATGTATCTACATTTCTCAACTCTGATATAATATTCGTTTATCGCGATTCGATATCGTTTCAGAAATTCGATGTAGCCCGTGGTATGTATTTTAAGTTTATCGTCGCATAGATACGTTAAAGTATCTATCTGAAGAATGCGATAAGAAGAATTTATTGGGCGGAAAAAAAAGTTTGCAGGAAAACATTATCCGGCTGAATAAAGGAACCGATAAATGTTTTAAAAAATAGGTGGAACCTGTTCAATGGACTTTCGAGAATATCACTGTCGATGAAGATTCCAGCCCCAGTGAACTTCGACACTTGGCTGATTTCCTTTCGAAGAAACAATTCGATCTCGTCATTAATTTACCGATGAGAAACGGCGGAGTGCGTCGTGTTTCCAATTTCATGACGCATGGTTACAGAACCAGAAGACTCGCTGTCGACTATTCCGTTCCTTTAATTACAGATGTTAAATGCGCGAAATTACTCGTCGAGGTAAGTAGAAATTTTCGATATTCTTCCCTTGTAACTGAATTTGATACATAGATTGAAATTGTTTAATAAAAGGGCAGACACTTTCAGGCGATAACGTGAGAAATTATTTAATTCGTTTGCAGAGAATCGCAAGACGAAATAGCGAATATATCGCTGACTGAATAAGCTTCTTTGTATAAAAACGACGACCTTCGATTCTGTTTTAAACAACGAATTTATAATATATTTATGCAAATATATTTTTATAAATATCTACAAACGTGGAAATAGAATTTAAGGAGATTTGTTCCAGTTACGGATGTATTTATAACGATATAAAAAAGAAATTGAAATATAAAAATTCGAATATCGTGATCGTATCAAATGCTCGTAAATAATAAAAGTCGATCGTAAAAACAACATTGATTTTAGGCCCTCTGTGTTAGCTTCACTCCGTTCGTTCAGTGTCATCAGTTCTTAAATCTCTTAGATCTCATTTTCAACACACCCTGTGTCTTATCGCCAAATAGCCATAGTCATGATATTAAGTAAATCTCATGGATTAACGAAACTTGAAAAATATCCTTGATGTTTGATTCAAACAGATACGTACACGTTTGTGTATCGTATATCTGTAACAATATTTCTGTCACGGTGCTAGTGTACATGAATCAAACAATAGAAATCGAAATACGCGTGACTCGAAAAACTATTTAAATAACAATTATCGATAATTTCTACGAATATCTTTTCATTATTGTTTATCTAAATCTCATAATCTTATGAAGTTTTACTTGAAACAGCTATTCATTGCACTATGATAGTCTGTGTTTCTCCGGAATCACGAAAAACAATAAACAAAAATAAAAAATTTTTCCAGCCATTTTAGAGTTAATTCTATTCATAAAAATATGAATTTGCATAAATATCCGTAGTCAGATTATTAGAAATTCACGATTATTTCAGAATATTTATGAATGTTTGTACAACGGTATAATTGATACAGTCATCGACAACTGACGTAACAATGAACGTTGCTTCTTCTATTGCGTAGGCTATGAGAATGCTCGGTGGACGTGCGCCTCGTATGAAAACTCATACAGATTGCATGTCATCGCGTACGATGATTAAACTTCCTGGTTTAATCGACATTCACGTACACACACGCGATCCTGGCGCTGTTTACAAAGAAGATTTCGCTTCTTGTACCGCCGCTGCTCTTGCTGGTGGTATCACGATGATCTTGGCGATGCCTAACACAAATCCTGCTGTGATCGATCATCAATCTTTTGCCCTGGCCAAAGAAGTATGAAAATAATATCGGCTTCCTTTCCGTGTCAAGGGAATACACCACTCTGACGATTTAAAAGAAAAAATCCAAATCCTTGTTCTTTCTTTCTTTCAGTCTCCTGGAAATTTTATATATATATATATATGCAATATTATGTCAAAAGTCGATTTATCAGATATCAAAGCACTGACGAGGTTGTAAGAATAAATATGCTATAAGGAAACAGATTAGAGGAGAATGTTATCGCAAAACTTATCTTATATTTTTATTGAAATTCTGTTCTTTGACCTAGCTACAGCCAAGTACTCGGACGTACGTGTTCGATTTTTCTCAAATCTTGAAGGAATATTTTGCACTGCGTATTCCACGAATTTTACCAATTTTACAATATTTCGTTAATTTCCTATCGATCGAAAGAAACGGAAAAATAGGAATTTCTGCAAAACGTGCCCCATAGTTGCAGATATTATATTGTTTTAGATATCAATCAGAGTGATGTACTTCCTCTAGAAATCTCATAAATTTAATACGAATGGAACGCGTGTATTCTTTTTGCAGCATGCAGTTTTGAACGCGAGATGCGACTACGCGATTTACGTTGGTGCCTCGTCCGATAATCACGATATAACAGGCGAATTAGCTCCGTTAGCAGCTGGTCTTAAAATGTATCTTAATGAGACGTTCACGACTCTTCGATTGACCGATCTCACGGTGTGGGTTAAGGTGAGTCTCGTGGATCGGATTCGCATGAAAAATTATACGCGCACAGAATTATACGCGTACGATTCGTAGATACGAGTCTTTGGTTATCCATAGTTTCGTCGATTTCAGCATTTCCAAAATTGGGCAAAGAAATATCCTCTTTGCGTTCATGCCGAGGGCCAAACGACAGCTGCGGTCCTTTTATTGGCTGGTTTGCATAACAGGCCGATTCACGTGTGCCATGTAGCTCGGAAGGAAGAGATACAAATAATACGCGCAGCTAAGGAAAAAGTAGGCTATTTTTACGAACTTGTTCATTATCTCCACATATCAAACATAATATGTCACGATTGCCATTATCATTATCGAGATCTGTCAAAAAGAGATAGAAATCAGTAAAAAATATGTGAATTTCAAGATAGAGGATAATTTTGTAACTATACGAACATCAAACGATCCGAGGGTGTAAGATATTACTGTGATCATTATCGAGACAATTTTGATACATTTCTTAATTTCATTTTCCATATACATATTTTTATCAGGGAATGGCTGTCACTTGCGAGGTGTGCCCTCATCACTTATTCCTATGCGAAGAAGATCTTGGGCGCATAGGAACTGGTCGAGGTCAGGTGAGGCCGTTGTTGGGAACCAAAGAAGATCAACAAGCTCTTTGGGATAATTTGGATATAATCGATTGTTTCGCGACAGATCATGGTTCGTTTTATTTTATTGGCGTCTTCTCTGATATTATTATACTATTCTATTTAAAAAAAAAATGAAATTTCTAACGTAAATTTAAGTCATCCGTTTCACCGAGAGAATTTCTTAACGCGTAAACGCCTTTCAATGAATCTGTAAACGAAAAAGTTGTAACAGCTTCGTTCTAAAGATCTTTTGATCTAAGGACTGATAATTCTTACAAGTCGGATTACAAAGTCGATTAGTCATTAGAAAAGTACGTTAAATTACGTGGAGATTACTTGTATATGTTAGATGTGCGATATTTTGAAGAGGTTCTATTCGAAGAAACAGTTTTGTTAAACGCGCGTTTTCGATATTCAAGCGCCGCATACCGTGCAAGAGAAATCGGGTGAAAAACCGCCACCCGGCTTTCCTGGACTCGAGACGATGCTTCCGCTTTTGTTGACTGCAGTTCACGAAGGAAAATTAACAATAGAGGTAATCGAAATCCATCTTAAAAGCTTTACGATAATAACTCGAGATCTCTATCGAGGTACGCAATATCGTATAAACACATTCTTTTTTAACGTTCCATTATTACGACATAAAAGGTATTCGTATCTTGTTGGAGCAAATTCGTTACAATCTTTATCATTCGATACCGAGCGTAAGAAAAAATCTTTTCAGGATATGGTAGACAAACTGTATAAAAATCCAAAGAGGATCTTCAATCTGCCGGATCAGCCGAATACCTACATCGAAGTCGATCTTGACGATGAATGGGTGATACCGGAAGCAATGCCTTTCAGCAAATCCAAATGGACACCTTTCGCAGGGATGAAAGTTCGTGGATCGGTTCATCGCGTAGTGCTTCGTGGAGAAGTTGCCTACGTCGAAGGCCAAGTTCTGGTGAATCCTGGTTTTGGCCAAGATATCAGAGAGATGCAAACGAAGATGA